TTGGATTGTCATTACTCTTCAATTATTTTAACTCCCTCCCCTTTAATTAGACTAATTACACTTGGTTTAGCATAGGCATCTGTGTATACGGGGATGAAGAATTGCCTGGGATATGTCATAATGAATAAAACACTTAAGAGCAGGGCTATACTAGTAGTGGTGGGAAGGTGGTGAAGGGCAGGCTGTTATGGGAGAGCATGCTCCAGATGTTTAATTCAATTGTTCAAAATAAGCTCCAGTTTGTGAATATGGGATATTGTGCTTCTATACCCACAATATAAAAAAGCCAGACCAATACTGGTGCAAAATATTGTAGCCACATTGCCAGCAAGAAAAAGGATGCCAAGCTTTACATAGCAAAGAGCAGCCTGAATGTTGACAAAACCAATGGCAGCAGTCAAGATGGTTTACAGGATACCCTCTTCTGCTCACTACCATTCCTACTCGTTGAAAAGCAGCCCTGACAATTGCTCTGTGTTTGGGCAAGAAGTGGTAAACTGATGGGGGGAAAAAGAGTCAACTTCTGGAATTTTCCTTTGCATGGAGTCACGTTGTAAATGGTAGTGGTGCTGGGGGACTCCTGTTCAACACCCTGAATGCATGTGGAGTGTCTTGGGGTTCCCCATACTATTTCATATATACATGAGAAACCCGAAAGAGGCTGTGGAATGGTACCACCCGTATGCTGATGACACCCAACGTCATCTGCTTTTACAGATCTTCTGGAAGGCCCTTCTCTCAGTCTCTCAGGACCCAGACCCCACCTCACCCCCTGCCAATTTCACTCTAGAATCTATAGTACTCTCTTACACAGTTGAAATTCTACTAATAAAAACAACCTCACCGTCATTATATGTTTTCTATTTCATCAATTTAAAAATTCACTGTGAAAAACCAACAGTATTCTTGCATGAACACTAAATCAATTGAGTCAAATATTTTGACTCCATCTCCAAGAATCTCCACCCAGCATAGCCAGTGATAGAAAATTTCAAGTATTATAACTCCAGTATACATGGATAGCCAAATTCTCCGACTATTGAACTAATAAATATAACATTAATCTTTGTGCCAATGACACGGACATAAGACATCTCATAACTTCTTGACATACAGTACTTGTAAGGATGTTTCAAGTCACATGATCACTGGGAAGCAGTTGGTGGTTAAGCTAAAGGAAGATGAATGATGTCTGCTTATGGGTATCCTTGAGAAACACATTTCCGATTCTTTGGGTGTGTTTTATAACAGAACAGGCAGCCAGTAAAAAAAATCAGCAATTTCACAGCTTAAATGAATGAGCTGCTGTATAGTACTATCTATTTTTTTTAAATAGTTTTTAAAATATTTTTACAAGCAGGTGCTAAGGATGTTGGCCAGGAAGGAGTTAAATGCTTTATTTCATAGTGAAGGCCATGGCAGGGTTAAAAGTGACAGACTGAGACCTTCTCTGTGGGCTTACTGGAGACACATTCTGACTGGCCAGAATGCAATGCTATGCAAAAAAGGAATTCTAAGAAGTTATAAAGAAAGGCAGCAATTTCAGAGGTTTTAAGAGTTAAAAAAATCAGTAACTAAGGGGTTTGAGTAGCAGCCAGGATTTCCCTAATTCCTGTGGATAAATAAAAAGAGGTTAGAACAAAGGGCTTCCCCCCCAGGTATGCAAATTTTGTTTTATCTACATTTTCCATATATTTTCTAAGCTGTAGAAAAAACTTGCTTGCCTGTACACAGGGGTAAAACATTGAGTTTCTTGAAAAACCACAATTCTAAAACCCTTTGGCCAAACATTCCTAAATTTGGCACAGATCAAGAGCAGACTTTCTGCTACTGTTGTACCAAATATGGTACTGCTCCAAAGTCCCATTTCATAGTCATAATTTGTTGGCACCCATGTGTTTTGTTTTTGTTTGTAGAATCCTGTTTACTGTGCTTACATAAAATATATGATACGATGGTAGTTCCTTGGGTCCTTCTCCCAGCCATCTGAATCCATGTGACCCTATCAGGTGACCTTCTGATTTGCACATGTGGCAAATAAATGCCAGATCAGTCCAAAACAAAGCCGAATGAATGCTAGACCTCCTAAAACAGGGGTCCCCAACCCCCGGTCTGGGGCCCCATGCCAGGCCGAGAGGAGCTATCAGCTGGGCTTCACATTACAAAAAAGAGCTCGGCAGGGAGGCCATTTGAATTTCCCCAGCTCCTTCTCCCATTTCCCACTGCTGGGTCTGTCCGCGCTGCTGGCTTTCCAGGCGGGTTCCGGCAGGCAGAGCCCAGCTGGAAAGCAAGCAGCATGTACGGACCATGTGTGCAGGGGGGGGGGAATATAAGTGCTGGAAAAGTGGCTCGTTGGGACTGCATGGTGGATGCTGGGAGCCACGATCCAAAAAGGGTGCTTTGCCGAGCTGGGGATGAGGGTGTGTGTTGTTGCCCTTCTAATGATGCTGTGGCTTGCAATAAGAAAGGATCGCTTTCAGTAGGCCGCAGAGTTGAAGGGACTTGGGACAAGGTGGAGGCTCCTTGCCAAGCCTTTCAGGTGCCCCACGTTTTTGTCTCTTTGGGGGTTGGGGTGTGTTCCTCAGGGTTGTGCCTGAGGTCCTGCACCGACTGACCTGCCCATACCCCCCTTCTAAAATGCCACCTGGGGAAGCGAGCCTTCCCCCTGGGTGCCATGTTGGCCTCCTTCAGCGTGCTCAAAAACGGGGTGGGGTGGCAAAGGAGAAAAGTCCGGCCACACTTTGTGTGTGTGTGTGTGTCAGGGCCGCCGCTCCCTGCCCCGGACCCACCAGCTCATAATCCAGACTAATGCCACCTCTCTCTCTCCCCCCCCGTCCCTTTCAAAGGCTTTTGGTGAGCTCAGGGAGGTCACCGGGACCCCCCTTTTGGGGAGGGGGCAGGAGGGCGAGGACGAGCAGCATCCCTATCCTGTCCCTTCTTAGAGCGTGCTGTGAGCTGGAGGCTCTTCCCCCTCTGCCCCTGGAGGCAGAGCCCGGCGGAGAGGCCATTTCAATTTCCTGGGCTCCTGCCTCCTGCCGCTGGGTCTGTCCACACTGCTGGCTTTCCAGGGGCTTTCCAGGTGGGCTCCGGGTGGTAGAGTCTGGCTAGAAAGCCAACAGCATGGACACACCCAGCAACTGGAGGCAGGAGCTTGGGAAATTTGAATGGCCTCCCCTGCCTCCAGCTGCTGGGTTTCCTGCCCTCCTGTTCACAAGGGAGCCCTCCTTGCCCCTCCCCCCAAATATGGCTTCCCCATTTCACTGGAAGTTGTTTCTCTCAGAGACATCAGGACACGAGTACGATTCTATTAAGCCACCTAGTGGTCAATCTTGGTAATACACATTGGGAACATGTATTTCTGGGTTTTATTTATTTATTTAGGGCAGTCCTGCTATATTGGGGAGCCACAACCGGTAGCCAGTAAGTCAAGGGAGCTATGAGTTTGAAAAATTGGGGAACCACTGCTTTACTCACTGTTCCAGAGATTTACAAGACCTGGCAAAGTAGGTTTGTGGGAGGGAAATGCCCTACTGTGAGAATGGAAGTTTGCTCGTACAATATTAAAGGAAGCCCTAAGAAATATTCCGCCATATAATTAATGAGTTAGAAGCTTTGACCTGCAAAGGATTAGTTCAGAAGATATTTGCCCATCTTCAAGGTAAGAAAGCACTTCTGCTATTGTATGATCAGCTCCGTACAATTTTACAATTGCAGGAAAAAAGTCACAAAGTAACCGGCTCAATCTCCATTTCAAAAACACTGCCAGTTTCAAAGCTGCTGCTATAAGTTTCTGAAGCATGACTTACAAAGCATATTGTCAGAAATAAAGTTCTGAAGGTGCCCTTAGTATGCCATTGTAGACTTCCAGTTTCCTTTGGAATTCAGATGAGAAAAGAACAATTCAGGCTGGAGAATTTTTTCCCCAGTTTTGAACTGAAAGTAGGGAGGTGGCTGGTTGTTGTTTTTTTCTTTTTGTTTTGTTTTTGACTTTGAATAAAGGGAACGTACAATTGTTTATTTACTTTGCCAGCTGATTCCTCATTCCATCAGTCTGATCACAGAACATATTGCAAGGCAAAAAAACTGAGTGTGGATGGTTCAGTACTAACTACCCTCATCTTTCAAAGCGTTCTTATCTGAATAGTTTAAAACAAGAACAAAACTGTCTTAAAACAGACAAAGTGGTACATAATAAAAAGTGTTTTCATAGGAGGTGCATAAAATCATTGTCTGGTTGCCAAAAAAAACAAACAAACAAAAACACACAAGACCATATACAGAAATGTAGCAGATATCAAGCAATAGCTAAAGAACCCTTCACATCCATTCTGTGAAACAGGGCTTTATCTAGCTAAAGATTATCATTTTTACATATTTCAGTGATTAGCACCTCTGGCCCCAACTGAAAACCCTTTGATTCACTGTATTATTAAATGCATTTCCATCTTTCCACTATTCTCAAGGCAGCAAACAAACTTCAATAGAAGCAAGTTAAAAAAATGAATTAATACACAAATTAATAAAATAATTTCAATCATAATAATCAAAGCAATTGAAATAATCACAATATCAATTTAAAAGTTAAGGTATATCTGGATTGTACTTGTTTCTATTTCAAGATTATTACCTGCCACCTTAAAACCAATCAAATAAACTAAGCTTAAGAATCATATGATGCCACAGTTTCCTTAGATGCCCTTGAAAAAAAATCTGCTGTTCATATTTGAGCTCTTCAAACTCTTAGCTATCGTTTTGAAACCAGTTTTTGTAGCCACAGACACAAAAACCTGCTGTGAAAATACAAGCAAATGAAAGAATCAGATATCTAAGGAAAACTCTATGGGTCACATAAATGTGCTCCAGATTATCACATACATCCAGCAGCCTTACAGGTTATCCTCCTCAACTTTAGTGAATGACGTGTAAAAGTTTAATTTTATAAAAAGTTTCAACACATCTCAAAGTAGCATAGCAGTTCAAGGAACTGCTATAGTACTTACCTCTATCTGTATCATAAAGGAAGACGAAGCGATTCCATTTATAATGGCCCAGCACACTTAGCAGCGCTCCTTGTAAGGAAGGCCTCAGCTGCAGAACAAACTGGCTCTCACCCTCAGTGGGGAAACTCGGTGTGATGAGAGAGATGTGCAAAGCGCTGCAGAATGAGGTCAAAGTATGTACTGATCTTTTATCATACAGTCCAAAAATGGCAAAAACTCCTCTTGAGTACTGGGAGCAGACTGAAAGAAAACACAGGGATATATGATTAATATGATGATGAAAAGCTCCTCTTATTATGATGTCAAAGTCAACGTCAACTAGGGCTCAGAAGGCATCAAGTTTTATGATTAACAGCCAATAGGCCTAGGAGAAACTGATATATGAACAACATAATATTACAAAATAACACCATTTAAATCAGCATCCTATAAGTAACTGAGCACATTCAGGTTCCCAGACGGGAGGTATGATTGCTCTTTTCAAATACTTGAAAGATAGTCATACAGGAAAAGATCTACAGTAGGACCCCCTTATCCACAGGATGTGTCCACTGATGTACTTATCCTTGATCTGAAAATATTGAAATTATTAAAAGAAAAATTCCAAATATGATGATGTTACCAGAACTGGACATGAGAAGGTTCCAGAGACCATGCTATGTATAGCATTCACTAATATAATAGCATTCACTATAATCCACATTTTTCAGCATCCACGGGGTATGTGTGTGTCCTACTACGTTTTGGATCATCTCAGAGTGAATAGCATTCACTATAATCCACATTTTTCAGCTTTCACGGGTTATGTGTGTGTCCTACTACATTTTTGGATCATCCCAGAGTGACGGATGCATAACAATGGGCTCAAGTTACAAGAAACTAGATATTGGTTGATCATCAAGAAAAACTTTAAAAACAAGTTACAAGAAACTAGATTTTGGTTGAACATCAAGAAAAACTTTAAAATGTTAGAGCAGTATGACAATGAAACCAATTAACTTTTTTTTGGTCAACCTACCATACAGTTTTTAACCAATTAACTTAGGAGGTGGTAAGAGTGCCAACGCTGGAGGCATTCAAGAGAAAAATGGACAACTGTCTGTAAGATCTGCTTTGATGTGGATTCCTGCAAGTAGCAAGGGGATGAACTTGATGGCCTTATAGGACTCTTTGAACTCAATTATTCCATGGTTTTCTGATCAAGATTCCATTACCTGAAATTTCAGGGTAAAAATGCTTGCCAGTACAGCCCTCCATCCCATACATAGACTTGCCTATATCACATAGGAAGTTTTCCCAGGATCTACAATGCTGCTAGGTTTTGGAGATTGGTCACTACCAGCATATGGAAACATGCTACCCCTCAATCCTGTGCCACTTATGTCAGCACTTGTACAACAAGAAGGCTTCTAAGTCACAGTGCTGGTGCTCTACTCCTTGCCTTGCTCCAAATGGTGCAACAAGCTCAAGTGTTTGCACTGATCAGGTATGCACCCCCACTGTCAAGTGTCCTCTTGTTTGTTGCTTCTTGGTAAGCGAAGACTGTAAGAACCACACCTATACAATCATCTGCACCAAGCTAGTGAGGCCTGATGTCAGCTCAGAATGGATGGTGAAGTTTCCTGACCTTGAAGCCACTTTATATAGAATAGTCAAAATTCTCTTTAAGAGTCTGTTTTTGGGAAAAACCAACAAAAGAGCATGGAAATGAACAAAAATAACCTATTTTGTCTTTTTCTTATTCATGATTATGCAAAAGCCTCAACCGTAGTGTGCAGTGTGTTAAAACAATTTGGATGGAACCTAGGAAGGTGTAGCACTAGGTACTCTAATGTAGATTAATCTTTCTACCACTGGCAATGTACATTCCACATTCATTATCCACATGTGTTCGATTACACTTTTTGTGATTTTACTGACAATTGAGTTGTTTCATCCTTGACAACTTCCTAGCCCCTTTGGACATTTTGCGATTGGAAACTTACCTACAGACACCTGTCTTTCACAAAACCCACTACCTCTATTCTTCTGCAATTGGCAAACTAGATCTGCTCTGAAGGGACAACTATCTCTGGAAATTTAATCCAGTTCTACCAAGAACTAAAACACATACTGCCATAATAAATATATGAACGAATCAAACTAAAAGTTAGATAGCACACAAAAATCCTGCACCAATTTGTCAGAAACCTGGCACCCTAACCCACTCTCAATGAGCAACTATGCATGCAAGTTCATCCAGTTCACCCAAATGGACACACTTACAGCAATTTCTTAATAATCACTGACTAAACATCACTGCGAAAACACCGCCCATATCTCCAAGGAGACGTTCGCGGAGTTCCGGAGAATGGGATGGATCCGAAAGACAGATAAACCACAATACTGCTGAGTAGAGCCCAGGGGATCTCAGCCGGGTCTTGTCTAATCCTTCTTCTCCAAAAGCCACACTCCTTTAATAAGCCAAATAGCCAACACAGACATAACCATGAGATATACTCAGATTAATCTGGGCTCTAGAAATCTTTGGTAGCGAACATATAAGGCCAATTAATATTCCTCAGCTAGTCTGAACAAGAAACAATGCTTCTAGATAGAAATCAATCATTACTGTTTTATTAATAAAAGTTGTTAAAGTAAAAAAACCAAATATTTAGTTGGTACATTTTCAATACAAGGCACAGATAATTCCTCCCCCACTCCAGCTAGAAAAATAAAGAAATGAAACTATGCTAACTAATATAAAGGGTAACATAGTCCATCTCACGTGTCCTGGGTTCACAAGCTGTTGTAGATGCAATCCAGGTGTTTCCCCTCAGTCCATGGCAGAGGAAACCATTTGTAATCCATGATGGAACACACACTACTTTCTCTCCTCCATCGCTTCTTCTTCCCAGAGTTCCCAAAGGCCAGAAACTTCTGGACAGGTCACGCCCCATATTCCCACGAGAGCTACAGAAATGCTTTGGCTACCAGGAATGTTTCTCCTTAGTAACTAGATAAGAGATAGCCACGGTGGCTCATCTCAGAAACTACACAGAAATCCTAATTAACTTGTAAACCACCCAGAGAGTGCTTGAAGTGCTATGGGGCAGTACAGAAGCAGCACGATTTGCTTTGCTTTTACTAATACTCTCTGAGAAGTACACAGATGGGGATTTTAAAATGCAAGATTTAGATTCAGAACCAGGCTGAATGTGGGGCACTTTGAACTTGTCCAAGGCTAACGGGGTCATATTTCAATCAGGGTCAAAGTCCTGTGGTCCAAACCCATCTTTCTTTAAGTCTTCAAGAACAGGTATCTCACCAACGCAGAAGAGAACATTAGCAAGAATAAAGAAACCTGACCAAATTTGAAAGTAGTATATTTCTATGTGATTCTGCTAGATACATTCCATTGAATGAAACTTACTTATACAGATGCTCATTCCAAATGGATCTTGGCCAACGGGAAATATATATAACCAATATACAATACATTCAACACTGTGTGGAATATCCCTATAAATTATTTGAAAGGCATGTCTCAGCAGGACTAAAAGGCTCTACAGTGGAAGCACTCCTTCTTTGTAAAGGTTTGCACAATGTTTATCATCTACAGAGGGTTCCTTTGTTTATAATGGAGGGAAAGCTACCTGGAGTTCTGAAAGCAGGATATAAAGCCAATTAGTATTAGGGAACTGTTTACCAATAATGAGATATCAGGACATTAGGTATACACAGTGCCTACTGTATCTTTTGCTAGATAACCAATCCAACAGCAAAAAATATACACAGAAAGGTAACATGGCCAAAATATATGCACCTAGATGTTAAAAGATCAGATAAATAAGTTACTGCGAAAAATAACAATACAGTTATGTTTTATATAAACCTTAACATTTATGTTCAACAGCAGACATGAGGTGTCTCCACACTGATACTTAGTTAATAATGTTTAGTGTATACAGTAACTAATAGCTAGGTAGGTACTTCACAAAATGGTATACAGTGGTGCCTCGCATTACGACATTAATTCATTCCAGCGAAATTGCTGTAGAACGAAAACGTTGTAATGCGAAAAGAAAAAAACCCATTGAAACGCATTAAAACCCCTTTAATGTGTTCCAAAGGGCTGTAAACTCACCGTCCAGCAAAGATCCTCCATAGGGCAGCCATTTCCGCTGCCTGTGCAGTGAGGAATCTGTCCCAGAAAACAGCCAATTTCTTTACCCGGCGGCCATTTTGAAACTGCCGATCAGCTGTTGGAAAATCGTCGTTTTGCGAAGGATTGGTTCCCGAAGCAGGGAACCGATCAATACAAAGCGAAAGTCCCCCATAGGAAACATTGTTTTGCAATCACAAAAGTGATTGCAAAAAGTTCATCATAATGCGGTTTTGTCATTAAATGGGGCAACAGTAAAGCGAGGCACCACTGTATATGATTCTATTTCTTTGTACCAAATCTTTTCAGTTTCAGCAGTCTTAGATATCCATAAACCACAGCAGTTATCTCCCATAACACTCTAATTTCAAGAACAGATATAGTTCCCTGTCTCTTTTCACCAAGCCTTTTAAGTCACAATAGTTTTAAATACCCATAAACCACAGCAATAAGACTCATAATGCTGTGCTTCAACTTCCAGAACTTTGAAGCAATGGCTTCTATGTTCCATTGAATGCACTGCTCACTTAAATTGCCTAGTTAGTGTCAGTATATCAAATTATGGATGGACCAAATAGTTGCTAAATTCCTTGTTATAATTGATTTGTAGTCTGCCTTCTCATGATGAAAAACCTTTAAGGGAAGTTACACCTTTAAGGGAAGTTACACTTCCAACAAAAGAGTGAGGAGACTCTTTTTTTCTATCATCCCCCCCCCCCCCAAAGCACGCAAAAAGTTCATCATAATGCGGTTTTGTCATTAAATGGGGCAACAGTAAAGCGAGGCACCACTGTATATGATTCTATTTCTTTGTACCAAATCTTTTCAGTTTCAGCAGTCTTAGATATCCATAAACCACAGCAGTTATCTCCCATAACACTCTAATTTCAAGAACAGATATAGTTCCCTGTCTCTTCTCACCAAGCCTTTTAAGTCACAATAGTTTTAAATACCCATAAACCACAGCAATAAGACTCATAATGCTGTGCTTCAACTTCCAGAACTTTGAAGCAATGGCTTCTATGTTCCATTGAATGCACTGCTCACTGAAATTGCCTAGTTAGTGTCAGTATATCAAATTATGGATGGATCAAAT